TTGACAAGACTACACCGATTCAACTTCAAAAGCAGGTTCCCGGGAGTCTCTACGAAAAAAACTTGAGTTGGATACGAGCAACAGGAGTGAAATGGTGGATAGAGATTGATCTTGAGCGCGAGCCCAGCGCTGGTGGGCCTTCCCTGGCTTGCAGTGCTGGGCCAGTGCATCCCGTGGAGTCGAGTGTACGCTCATTGCGCTCCTCTCGCCAAGGCCTTTCCAGGATGCCCAATATCGTGGAATTTGTCCAATGCAAACTAAAGTTACGTCCAATTTAGGTACATGTTTGGCAATTGCATGGGTGTGTTTGTATTTTAATCGGCCAATAAAGGGTTAATTGTCATACTTCAGAAATATTTTAAAAGTGGGTTGAGTTTGTTGTTGTCTTTGGAGTCTTCTTGCACTTGATTCGAGCAATGGATTCTAAAACCAATATCCCTGCCCTGCGACACAACGGAATCTCTGCAGTACTGGATTGGTGCCTCTTGCACTCACCTCCGGATTCTGCCGGTGGTTGTTCTGTCAGTCCAGGTGAGAGAAGTTATGGGTCGCACACCATGTACACAGCACAAAGAAAGGGAGATAGGGGACAGAAGGAGAGAGAGCGATGAGGATACGCAGCGAGGGAATTTGTTCGATCACAGAGAGTAACTAACCCCAACGTGAATCAGCACAGAAAAAAGAAGTGGAGTGTTGAGGCTGCATGTACATGGACTTGCAACATCAGCTGTATGTATACGGAATGCACCCAGTGGCATAATAATGCAATCATTGATTGAGGATAAATGTGTAACATTCTCCCATTGTACACCCCATGCACACCCCGTGTACACCCCGTGTACACCCCACGTACACCCCACGTACACCCCACGTACACCCCGTGTAAACCCCACTCACCAGCAGTAGTACTAACAGCCAGTCTTGTAGGCGCTGGAGGCTCAACACGAGAGATCAAGTTCGATGCCAGAATGATCGCAATGTCAGTATCTATGCCATCAAAGATACTTCTGAGGAGTTCTAGGAGCCCTTGTTTATTGTTGACAGCCAAGGAGACTAGTTGTGCTGCACTGGCGTTTTGCAGGATCAAATCAGTGATATTCTGTACACCGAGGTTATACGTCTCAATGCTGAACAGGTCGCCAACCCAATCTTTTACATCTTCCGGCCTGTCCCAACTTGTCGGTGGTACTGCAGACAGCAAGACAAACAACGCTGCATTTGCTCATCGAGCTACGGTCTTCATCTAAAACTGGCAGCCCAGCTCTTTGGTGTCTCACTCGAATAGTAGTACAGGTCTATCCTCGTTAGTAGATAACCCGGTGGGGGTCCGGGGGGGGGGGGGGGGGGGGTCAAATTGCTTGTCTTATAACGAGTATTATCTACTATCCGGACGTGAATGTACGCGTTTCAGGCATCAGGGGATTTTGACCGTTGTCTACTAATGAGGGTTGTCTTGTGACCGATGTCGTACTAACGAGGGTAGACCTGTTGTAACTGTTACACAGTTTAAACAAATCTGTACAGCCTTCGTTGTGTGACCCATGCAATTCTTCATTGCCAAGTTTACGGAAAGTCAAGGATAGGGATTTTGAAATTTGGCTAGGTTTTCTAAATTCGGGCAGGTATACTCTGGCTAATGTATGGGGCAGATCCTGAAATCAAGTGTTTAAAATAATACAAAGTGTGATTTTGAGCCTTTAGAATTCGACTAAAAGCGGGTGTTCAAAAAGCCAGTGGACATATTCTACTTGAACAGACTGTAAACCCAACACCATAGAGAATTGGCTTCATTAGTTTGTGGCAATGTCAGACATCTGTCGGAGAAAAAAAGGAGAAGGACACAATGTTACGAGTTATGACTAATTGTCCACCAACGTAACCAGATCATATACTGTAAATATACAAAATTTCGGCGCTGCAAAATTTCGGCACTTCACGATTTTTGACATTTCGGCGGCGATTTATTTTCGGCGTGGGGTAGAGGGCATGGTATAGTGCGACAGATGCTGTGAAAAATTTCATCGGCGTTTTAATTTAGGCGTTTTGGGTCGGTGCCGAATATAGCCGAAATTAAATAGCTGCCGAAAATTTGTATATTTACAGTACCATAATTAAATTGGCTCACCATCCGAGTTCAACTTTGCATATCTGTTGGAGAGCATACCAATTCAGTGTACCAAGTGCGGTTACTTCTCACACAGGTAGGAAGGAATAATTTAGTTCTTGGCCCTAGAGGCCATGTCCATTCATCAGCTCTTTGTATGTGTTCCTGTAGGTGAAGCGCTTACCTGTGAATGCTGGGGGGTTCGTTGACAGGGGCACTGTTTCAATGGTATATGTTGTTGGGCTTGGGGGATTCTGTGCAGGTGTCGTTGTTGCAGGTGGCGGTGTTGTTGGAGGCATTGTTGGAGGCTGTGTTGTTGCTGGAGATGGGGCTGCTGGAGTTGTGGCTGCTGGAGTTGTGGCTGCTGGAGTTGTGGCTGCTGGAGTTGTGGCTGCTGGAGTTGTGGCTGCTGGAGTTGTGGCTGCTGGAGTTGTGGCTGCTGGAGTTGTGGCTGCTGGTGATGGGGTGGTTGTTGGTGGAAGTGTTGAGACTGTGGCAAGGAGTAGAGAACATAGCATGAAGACAATATAGAATTTTGTACCGCAGCATCCTTGACCAATGATCCTTGTAAGAAAGGTAGAACGACGACTCAGAATGCTGAAACATTTTTCTCGTCCCAATCGCTGTAGCCCACAGTGATACACGTCCACGAAGATCAACACAGCAAGATCAACACCGCAAGAAGAACAATGATGGTAGCGAACTTATATAAACTGGTAGCAATCTCTTTGCTGTCGGATTACTCAACTCGGTTACTACATCGGTCAGCTAAGTCATCACATTGGTCTAGTTCTCAGTCCCTGCATCTGTCGGAGCACACCCACTTTTACGGCCATCGTCACTCCTCGTTGGATTTATCACCCGGCTACCATGCATTACCAATTGGTGTTTGCCGTTTCTAATAGGCACCGTGTATGGGCACCTCTCGTGTGTATTGGACAGTGTAACAACAATATTGTCATGACCTCTCGTGTGTATTGGGCATGTGTTAACAAAAATATTGTCATGACCTCTCGTGTGTATTGGACATGTGTTAACCCTTTATTACCGGATTACTTGCACAGCATGCACCAGAATTACGAATTTCAGCACAATTTCCAACTTCACCAGGTCATAACTTTGGTCTCCTTCACTTGATTTTCATAATCTAGGGCTCGTTGGAAAGCTCTTGGCGAGAGCAACGCCAGGGTACCAAGCTCCATTATCCAGTCGCCACAAATCAGGCGCGGTAACACAGCAAAGTCGTCTCCAAGCCTGATATGCAAGCAAATTCGTCACATCAACGCCATTCCACTCTCCTTCATCGCAGAACGCTCAAATAATTTGTTTGAGACGATTCAAACGTCAGCCGACTACGTCATTATTATGTGCTTAGTCGCTCAAAGAGCACACGAAAAGGGATTTCCCCCAAAAATGGCGAAGTGATCGATCAAAAATTTGAATTTGCCGAGATGAGAATACGGCGCGCGATATCTCTGGCGTCCGACATCGTAACTCTTCGGCGATTGTTGCATTGGATAGCTTGGAGTTTCCGCTACCAAATAGACCTTTCGATTGTTGAATTCGCACAAGAAATGATGGAGTTACGAAGATATTACTGGCCTACAGACTTATATGATCGAAAGTCTGCAGGCCGGTAATAAAGGGTTAACAACAATATTGTCATGACCTCTCGTGTGTATTGGACATCTGTTAGCAACAATATTGTCATGACCTCTCGTGTGTATTGGACATGTATTAACAACAATATTGTCATGACCTCTCGTGTGTATTGGACATGTGTTAACAACAATATTGTCATGACCTCTCGTGTGTATTGGACATGTGTTAACAACAATATTGTTATGACCTCTCGTGTGTATTGGACATGTGTTAACAACAATATTGTCATGACCTCTCGTGTGTATTGGACATGTGTTAACAACAATATTGTCATGACCTCTCGTGTGTATTGGACATGTGTTAACAACAATATTGTCATGACGGATCCTCTCTGTGTAAAGATGTACATGCAGTGGCGAGCTCTGGCGCTAAACATCTCTTACTAGCATATACAGCACAGTCAAGGCCAGTCCAGGGTAGTTGACAGCTACACTGGCCTGTGACTACTTGACAAGGTAAGCTGAAGTTGGTAGTGACCACACCAGGCGTTTCCTGGCTGTTGCACCCACACTGGTTAGAACACCCACGGTCATACGTCGTCGCCGGGCAGCCTATAGCCAACCATGGGAATACACATGTGGACATACAGATATGCACATGCACCCACATTCACAGAGACAGGACATGCACGCATGTGCACGTACACACATGCACACACACGAGCGCGCGCGTGCGCGCACAGATACACAGATATACACACACATGTACATCGCACACGCACACACACACACACACACACACACACACACACACACACACACACACACACACACACACACACACACACACACACGCACGCACGCACGCGTGCTCACACACACAGAAGCACACACAAACAGCTCTGGTTGAGATAGACATAAAGCTGCGCAAGGAAACAACGGCACACAAGTCACAATGTATTCCAACGATGAGCAACAAGCTTTCCAGGTCTTCGTGTATGCATTAAGACTGGAACTTCATTCTCGCAAAAGGTATGGCCACATATTTGCAGCAACACAGGGCACAAGCACCTACCGCATGTCCCTATTTGTCTCCGTGGTACAAAGACCCTGCGTCCGTTGAACAGGAGCTCCGTTTGACCAATGGGACTGGGATAGTTGATAGTTGGCTCTAAGCATGCACTGTTGAGGTAGTTATCCTTCAGAGATCTGAGGTAACACGTCAATAAAATCAGGCCATGATTCAAACTAGAAGCGCTCTCCCTACACGCAGATGTAAATGAGATACCTGTGCAGGAATGCCCAAATCAGCATGCACAAATAATTATTACCTCTGCAGGGTTGCTCAAATTCGCTCGAACAGGCTATACACATCACCCCGTGCACATTCATCATAGATGAGACTACACTGCCGGCCGGCTAGTAACACTTGTAACTTATCAGCATCAAGAACATCAAGAACATCAAGAACATCAAGAACGCAGTTTGAGAGTCAAGCAACCGTGAGCTGTCATTGATTTACTGCGGCTGTCACTGCAATCACCACAATGCACTCTAGTGTAGTCTGTTTTGCTGTTTCATTGTCGACTCTTCATTGCAGGGCTTCATTGTGCAGAAACATACCCAGTATACAAGACGATCCTACAGTCCATTTCAAAACTATAGACGCGTACCTAGGCAAAAACCGTTATGCCAGCATCTATACCACATAAAATTTGTGATCACTTTGTGCATAATTTTTTCCAAATTGGGCGTCTGTTATCCAATCGTTTAGAAACTATAATTATGAGAGTAATTGTGGAGCGGACCTGAGCAATATTCCGATAACTATTCTCAAAAAGTTCCAGCCAAATTTGAAATATTTCAAAAACACTGCGCGTCTATAGTTTTGAAATGGACTGCAAGCCGTTTTCTCGAGGAGACGAGTTAGAAAACTTACACCTGAAGTCCTGCCGTAGCATTTGCAAACACCTCCTCAAATTCTGTCTTGTTGAATACAAGGTTGTTCATATCCAGATTGCTGGAGAGAGAGAGATGTAAAATAGGAACAACAAGAACCTCCACTGAAAGGCTGCAATTGAAACCTATTCTCTGCCTCGACAACAATGAATTGTGCTCTGCTGTAGAATATGTATAGAAGTAGCAGGTAAACAGTGGAGAGTGGCACAGGGATTGAATGGCGCTCTTCTACTTACATTGTTTGCAGCTGTATAACCCGTGGAAGGACGTTCCTGAGAGTTGTAAAGCCATTTCCTGCCAGATTCCTGAGCACATATTTTCGAACACAAAGCAGACATTGAGGAAGAATAGAACTTGAAAAGGCTTTCTGTATTTATAATTCACTCTGAGGGTGTGGTGGTGAAACGGCTAGAGAGGCATTACTCGCTGGGGGTGAAAGGAATGTCATAACATCCGTTACATTACTTGAGGTTGTTGTTGTTGTTGTTGTTGATGTTTCTATAATTTACTTCACCATAATATATGAGCCAGGGACTATAGAAACCGCCCTACGACGTTTGATATCAAAATCAAGTTATGACGTTTCAAAGTCACGCGACTCAAAGTTACGCGAAGCGCAGAACTCGTCACTTATGTCTTTTGTTTTGACAAGACTCAAGAGCTAGTACTAGTACTAGGTGTAGGTGTAGGTCACTAGTAGATCTACTAGTAGTATCCTCTTGTTAGGTGTTCGGGGAAGGATTCCGAGCTCGAGCGATTTAATTGTCGAGTAACTCATGAGGCTCCACTTACTGTGATTGATTATGGCTACAACATCTAGTAGACGACGCAGCTCGATTCTATGTGGAGTCGACTAGTCCCTGATGCGAAGGCGCTTGAATCGGACGACGAGAATTTTTACGGATTCAGCGCTGGCACCCGCGAGCGATTCCGACACCGATGCGGACAGCGACGGCGATGATATGCCACCTAAGAAGAAGACGTATGGAGTCACAGCAAGCTCGAGTGCTGCTAGTGTTGTGTCGAAAAATAAATGCCAAGCCCCGACAGCTCGGAAATTTCAAACGCGGAGAGTGACACCGACTACTCGGAATCGGATGACGAACCAGATGCCCGCCCCCCCCCCCCCCCCCCCCCCCCCGCACCTGAGCCACCGACGATGGAGCAGGTGAAGCGTGGTCTCCTGTCTTCAGACACAAGCGATGGGATTGAGAGAGGCTGTGGATGCAAGTCGAAGAATCATTGGAAAGTCATCCCAGAGCAGCAGCTCGAGGACTACATATTTGAAGCCTCTAAACTGCGAGAATCGAAAAAGCGCTTCAAGCAGTTTGTTCTGGGCGCACTGACTGGAAGCATGCAAAAGTCGATGACTGGTGGTGGTGATTGACCTTTCTATTTCCGCTATCATGTACGTGGTTACGAGTTGTGCAAAGACGTGTTCATGGCAGTTCATGCAGTGTTGGAAGTCATGTAATGAAGCGCCTTAAAAAAAAAGGCAAACAAAGGAGTCGTTCAACTGGCACACCATGGCTTGACTGGGAGAACACCAGAGCACTTGGCCATGTCAGCAGACATAGAGCAGGATGTAGTGCAGTTTATTTAGTCATAATTATGCTAACATGTACGGTCTACCTTAACCTGCAGGGGAGCGAGGTAGTGCTGAGGACCCTCCAGTATACTTACCAGCATCCGAGAACAAGAAGTCTGCATACAACATCTATACCAAGACCATCACACAGTATTCGCCTGTTCATTACAGGTCATGTTGCCACATTTGGAGGAGACAGGCAGCACACATCAAAGTGATGAAGCCAAGGACAGACGTATGCGCACTGTGTGACAATCTGCGGGACAAAATTTGTGTCACCCGTACAGAGGAAGAGACGGAATGTAGTGTCCAGGCCCTGCGTTTGCCATATATATCACTAGCACAAGAGGAGCGGCAGTACTACCGAGATTTAGTGGACGGCGCGCAGGCGTCACTGGATGAAGCTGAGGGCATAGTTCACTATACATTAGAACTGCCTAACTAGCAAGACTGAAGATATACAAAGAACATTACAAACTGTGTACATAAATTTGCTCAATATCGCTCAATTGACATGCCATTATTAAATAGGTGGTTAGGCACATTTTACCACCGCAGATAAACTTGATATTTTGTTTGAGCACATAACAATACCATACCCACATTTTGAGAGAGAAAAAAAATGTTCGCCAAAAAGTGCAATAGGGTGGTTTTTGTAGTCCCTGGCTCATATTATGAACAGGCAAGACTGCCTTCTCACCGGTAACTCATGTATACACCGTAACTGGTTGTGGACTGCTGCATATTCACCAGCCACAGTCACAAAGTAGGTGTAGTTCTTGTGGCAATCTTGTCACTTTGCTTAGTATAAGATGGCAGTTCAAGTCATGAAGTGCACCACCACAGATGAGGGACTGTGAAACCAAACCAAAGAAGAAGCAACTGCAATGATTCGATTTCTGAGAGCAAGGAAGGGACCGCAACACGCACACACAAACACACACACACACGCGCGCACACACACGTATACACACGCACAGATTTTCTTACAGGTCATGGAGTTTCGTCAGGTTTGAGAAAACCTCTCCAGCGCCGGTGTATAGTTGACTTGCAAGATGATTATAGGACAAATCCCTGAGAACAGATTAGCAGGCAGGCAAGGAACATTACAAGATTCTACAAGAAAGTACTACAATGGTAAAACACATCCATCTCAGGAAGCTATATTTGAAGCAGTATCAATTATTTTCACTCATGCCAAGGAGAGAGAGAGAGAGAGAGAGAGAGAGAGAGAGAGAGAGAGAGAGAGAGAGAGAGAGAGAGAGAGAGAGAGAGAGAGAGAGAGAGAGAGAGAGAGAGAGAGAGAGAGAGAGAGAGAGAGAGAGAGAGAGACAGAGAGACAGAGAGAAGAGGAGAGAGAGAGGAGAGAGGAGAGAGAGGGAGAGAGAGATAGAGATAGATAGAAAGATAGAAAGAAAGATAGATAGATAGATAGATAGATAGATAGATAGATAGATAGAGAGAGAGAGAGAGAGAGAGAGAGAGAGAGAGAGAGAGAGAGAGAGAGAGAGAGAGATAGAGGAGAGAGAGGAGAGAGGAGAGAGAGGAGAGAGAGAGAGGAGAGAGAGAGAGAGAGAGAGAGAGAGAGAGAGAGAGAGAGAGAGAGAGAGAGAGAGAGAGAGAGAGAGAGAGAGATAGATAGATAGATAGATAGATAGAAAGATCGAAAGATAGAAAGATAGTGAGAGAGAGAGAAGAAAGAGAAGAGAGAGAGAGAATTCAGGAGAGATGTGCATGTATGGAGACGCAAAACAATGTGCAACGTAAGGCCTTTCAGAGTGTGTGTATTTTCATCACTATTTGACAATGACTTACAAGCCAGTCAATTGTTGGCATCGTGTCAAGGCATCACTTTTCTGCAAACCAGCAAAGGTGATGTTGTTGTGGCTTAGGTCACTAAACACAATTCAAGAGAACCAGGAAAAAGAAAAGTTAGACATCTTCAACCTCACTCGCAAGCTTGCTTGGATCAAAATGACTACTGACGACAACTTCGAACACTTAAGTCCTTAGTTAACACAACTATAGTATGGGGTGCATGTCGTAATTATAACATTGCAGGGAAGGAGCAATACAATTAGACTTACAGACTATGCAACGATGGGTCAGTCGCTGAAGGAATGCTGGCATTAAAATCAGAGAACTGGTTGCCTGAGGCCTTCCTGAAAGGAGAGATGGAAAGAGAGAAGACCACAATCAGTATCCTATACCGTGTAGTGTCCAATACCGTGTAGTGTCCAATACCGTGCAGTGTCGAATACCGTGTAGTGTCCAGAAGAAGCGTGCAGTCCTGCACTACCACTGGAGATTGAACAAGTATCGGAGACGTCTTCTGTTGTAAATTCTGGCAAGATCGATCCTCTGTCATGGGTGCTTTGTTTCTGGCAAACAATCCCAACCCCAGGACACAAATGTGAGGTGAATGAAATTACACAAATGACAGAACAAGGTTTCTTTGGTAATCGAGTTTCACGCTATTAGTATTATGATCCTCAGGCAAAAAAACTCAAGTGAAATTCCACTGATTTGCGCGGTGTTCATAGTCTGTCCGTACATGTACATGTTCTGTACACCATACACTGGTCTGAGCATGGATCAAGAAGAATGCATGCATGCAGTGTACAACGGTTATCTGCTGTTTTTCCCGGTGCACCCTCGCATATTATTCTGTGTATGCCCTGCCAGCGCCTGTACGGCAGCTATGTCAGATACTTGTTTTCGATATCTGTCCTGGTTGTCCTGTAGCAGAGAGAGTTGTAACATATGTTACCCCTGTTTCTAAAGTCCTCTTTTGAATAATATTCTCCAACATACCACAGTATGTCTATCCACCCAAGCCATTCAGATGTACACGTACACCTTTGTATACACTAGGGAGGGCAAGCAAACATTGAAATTGCTGTGTCACAGCCAGCCGTGAGTCATGACAACACTAACTTTCAGATCCACTTGGATCTAGTTCTCATATGGGGTCCATAGGCGTGTTTGGACGACTTTCCTTCACGACGGGGTGACACATCCGCCGAAAGTGACTGGATCGGGCCCTCCCGGTCGCGGGACCCAGCTCCCGGTACAGAAAATCCACACCTGCATGCGGCACGAGGGGCCTACCTACTACACTTCAAACTTCCAGCTGGGCAGGGTGGATCCAGAAGTCGGTATTTGTCGTTACATTGTGACTTCTGACGTCATCACTTTCAAGCCCAGTACCAGTCTCGCCATAATCTTCCAGCAACATGGCCTCAAAAACTTACAGTACAGTCAGAGCCGAGAAGTTTAATGCTATTCCACTCCACGTCGACAGCTGATTTCGACTGATGTCCCTGCATAGACAGAAACCGACCACACCAGAGTTGTACACTTAAACAATATGCGTACTGGTAGAATATAGAGCCACCGTGATATCCAGTGGATAGGTGCATGATAGCATGCATGGCATGCATCAGTCTGAGACACACACAAGGTCAGCAGAACCATGGGAAGGGCATATTGCTTCATAATCAGCAAAGAAGCTTGTTCATGGAAAGTGTACTGTGACAGGCTGGGTTGATAGCAGAGAGTATAATGCACAGCCGATACACATACAAGACACTGGTAGACATGGGACCAGCAGTTCAATCCGAAATGATTGCATGCGTGCAAACAGGAGTAGATACGCAAGAACACAGGTCAGGATATGGAGTATACACAAGAACACAGGTCAGGATATGGAGTATACACAAGAACACAGGTCAGGATATGGAGTATACACAAGAACACAGGTCAGGATATTCAAGAGACCTACAGGTTTGTAAACTCATCAGTGCCCTGGAGCGCTGCAACTGCTGTCAGGCGATTGCCTGCAATGGAGCTGCAGAGCACAGTAACATAATACAGTGGGTTCAAGACAAGGCTGGAAATGGGTAGAGGGGACGGTTTCAAATAGGAAATAGGTTGCAAACCGGAACGGACGCAATATTCACTTTCTTTCTCGGTATTTTGCTTAGAAAACATATGCCACAGTGTTTTACTCCGAGCCAAAATTTCATGGCTCTGCGATGACCAGAAGCACCATACCAAGCAGGTGAGTTTTGACTTGTTGCTTCGCACCGCGACTTGAGTTTTACATCTTTCGAAAAATCAACTTCTTGTCGCAGGTAAACAGCAGCTCGACTCTCGCAAATAAAGCACTGTATACCAATGAAAACAAATGGAAGCACACACAAGGCTTATTGTTGCTCTGTACTGGCCGTCGTGGAGCGATAGCAATTAGAGTGAATTTGATGTGCACTCTAAACCTTTCCGGTTTGGAGCCACCTCTGATTTGAAACGAAAACTTGGGCAACTTGGAGGCAACGGGCCAACACAAAGGAGTGGCTCAGTTTGATCGACTCTGGCCTCAGAGCAAACTTCAACATGCCAGTTTCCTTCCACAAACATATTTCGAGTGAATAATCCACGCTGATGATCGGTTTGGGTCTACACAATTTTGCTCTCAAACCGTTCCTATCTGAAACCGTCTCCTCTACTGACCATCGACAAAAGCACACATGTTGGTACCCAGACGTCATGATTAGATGTGATTACCAGGCAACACAACAGACTGAAAGAAAGGCGAAGGACTAAAGGGACCCTCACTTAATTTTTTGCCGACTACCCGCCAAAAAACACATTTCGACACGCGTGTGTGCTGGACGTCTGCGCGTGCACGACAAGACGTGTGAGCTGGCTGACAAGTGAGAGCCAGGGAGTCGTCAAGTACCGGCATTTGACGACTCCCGGCCTGGTGAGAGCATGCATGCATGCATGCATGTCCAGCTGGCGGGAAAGGGAACCTAAAATTGTAGATCGATGGGTTGAATGTGAAATTGTGGATCTACACGAGGTTTGTTTTGATGTTCTGATACTTATTGTAATGGCTAGTGATCTTGCAAACGTTACTGTGACTTTTCCAAGTCCTACTGATATACCTTGTCAAATCAGATGCCCTGTAGTAGTCTTGGTGGAAGCAGACTGGAATGCGTTGAATTCGTAGCTTCTGAAATTGAAATTTATTTTTTCTTGAGTGACACTGACAAGCGATGGCATTGGCGACAGGAGAACTTTGCTTCCTTCCAGGAGAGCTGCATCGCAGTCGGATCCTGTCCATGCACATGCGATCATGCTGTGTTGTAGACAGTGGAGAGCTAATTTTGACCCAAGAAAATAGTTTTGAACATTCATGAAGAGGATATTGTTGCTGTAGCTAGCTGACAGACATAGCCTGTGGCAGTGGTGTATGAAATCAGCTTGCAAGGTCTGCAGAGAAGGAGCTGAACTGCACACGCACTTGCTACTGCTCTCGCAAGATGATTGGCTTCTCTCCAGTGATCCAGCCCCCTCAACGCATGGATCCACTGCACTTTGTCGTCGAACACATCAACACGCCTGTTGACGTTCACTGGGAAGGTATCACTTCACGATGAGGAGCACACAGCACTCGTGGAGGCTTGTGCCGGATGAGTGGCTTCTCTCCAGTGATGCAGGCCACCTGGAGGCATCGGGCCAAGTGCGTTCTTTGCCGCAAGGGCCATATCAAAACAGCAACACCAGCAATGCCACCACTTCCCGACTTCAAGACAACTGGACCACATCAGTCATTTGCCATAATTAGTGTCGGCTATGTCATCCCCTTCTATGCACGCCAGGGTCGAGATCGGTCACAACTCAAAGATATATGTATGTGTGTTTACATGCCTGCTGACTAGGGCTTGTCATTTCGAGGTTATCTCTGGACAACGACGGTTTTCTCCTGGCTCTTAGACCCCGATTCACCATGCGACGTGGTGTGCCACAAGAGATGCAATCGGACAACGGTACCAATTTCCGTGTGGCTGATCAAGAGGTAAAAGCAGCTGTCAAGTTTCTCGACAACTTCAGACTAGCAGCAGAAAGGTCATACCGCGACATTACCTGGTACTTCAAGCCACCAAGTGCACCACACTTTGGTGGTGTGTTCTAGGTAATGGCCAAGGCAATGAAACTAGTGCTGCACGAAGACCTTCAGCTGCTATTGCCACAACACTTTCTCATTGGCCATGCTAGGGCAACTGTTGCTGCTGAAGCCAACACATCTACAATGACTCAAGCTCACCCAAGAAAGCGCTGGGAGTTTGTGCAACGTATTGTAGATCAGGTATGGAAACGTTAGCTGAAAGAGATTGTTCCGAAGCTAAGCATCCAAGTGATGTGGTTGCTTTAACAGCATCACCCTAAGGAGATATCGTGCTTGTGATGGATAAGCACACCGCAACTGCACACTAGCCACTTGGACGTGTGCTTATGACCTATCCAGGTAAGGATGGTGCTGTTCGGATAGTAGAAGTTTAAGTAGCTGGGAAGGTATACAAGCATGCAGTTCATCATCTTGAGCCACAGGAAGTTAAAGGTGCAAGTAGCGAACTGTGATTGTTTTCATATTCATAGTAAAGAAAAAAAGACCAAAGAACTACAAGTTATGCTATACTGTCCACTAACACCACCAGTTACTTGACAATCAGCTCATGCAATAACAAGAATTATAACATTGCACCAAACTGACCGACAGTACTGACGTTCTACAACAAACTGGCTATCAGCTCTAGCACGTCTTGTAGGTCCTTGGTCCTTTTCTTCCATCCGAGTTATCATATTCAATTGCCATTGTTTTTGTCATGTTTTTCTTCTTGTTGTCTTCGTCTTTTACTCACTCATGTGATATTTATCACTTTTCTTTCACGAGGGAGATATGTTAGATTTAATCTCCTATTTCTGTGTAATTTACATGTACTACTGTGTTCAATGGTGGTGAACCACGATCATGCATTGATCATCATGAATGCATGTGACATGCGTCACAGATCTGGTTTCTATTGCTGGCATCTATTACGCCTGACTGCTTTCCGCCTTGGATTTGCATTCACAACTAAATGTACAATTATTTCTGCATGGCTACATGCATGTACGATGCAATGCTGTTAAAATTTATGTTGTTGCCTGTTCATACTGTCCTGGAGCTGGAAGGACGCTAGTCTTACTTACTTCTTCTACTTTTAGTTGTGTGTGTGTGTGTGTGAGAGAGAGAGAGAGAGAGAGAGAGAGAGTGAGTGTTCGTCAACATGCGTGTTGAGATGTTCAACGACAAAGTGCAGTAGATCCATGCTTTGTGAGTGTGTGTGTGTGTGTGTGTGTGTGTGTGAGAGAGAGAGAGAGAGAGAGAGAGAGAGAGAGAGAGAGAGAGAGAGAGAGAGAGAGAGAGAGAGAGAGAGAGAGAGAGAGAGAGAGAGAGAGAGAGAGAGAGAGAGAGAGAGAGAGAGAGAGAGACAGAGAGACAGAGAGACAGAGAGAGAGACAGAGAGAGAGAGAGAGAGAGAGAGAGAGAGAGAGAGAGAGAGAGAGAGAGAGAGAGAGAGAGAGAGAGAGAGAGAGAGAGAGAGAGAGAGAGAGAGAGAGAGAGAGAGAGAGAGAGAGAGAGAGAGAGAGAAGAGAGAGAAGAGAGAGAGAGAGAGAGAGAGAGAGAGTGTACGTCAACATGCGTGTTGAGATGTTCAACGACAAAGTGCAGTGGATCCATGCTTTGTGAGTGAGTGAGTGAGTGTGTGTGTGTGTGTGTGTGTGTGTGTGTGTGTGTGTGTGTGTGTGTGTGTGTGTGCGTGAGAGAGAGAGAGAGAGAGAGAGAGAGAGAGAGAGAGAGAGACGCACACACCCACACACATACATACACAGAAAGAGAAAGACAGACAGAAAAAGAGAGTGGGTAGCATCAAGAAGTAGAGACTATACCAGCAGCTTCGACTAATATACTTCAAGTTCTAGTTGGATGTGTATTGAAGACAATGGTAAGGGGGGGGGGGGGTGTTATTGGAGTTGTTCATGATCAACAGTGTATCTGCTAGGCACATGTTGCATCCATTGGTCCTGTTTGAGTGACAGTAGGCGTGCAACCGGACAATGTTGGTGAAAGGCTGCATTACCAAAGAATTTGGAGAGAGAGAGAGAGAGAGAGAGAGAGAGAGAGAGAGAGAGAGAGAGAGAGAGAGAGATATGCAGTGGATTCACGCTTCAAGGTGGCCTGCATCACTGGAGAGAAGACACTCACCCTGCACAAGCCCTATCAAATGCCACGTGCAGTTCCAAGCTGAATGGCATGCTCCATGCCTCGCTTCAACACACCGCGCGGTATTTTTCACGTAGCTCATCATGCTTCAAGGTAGCCTGCATCACTGGGGAGAAGCCCCTCACTCTGTACAACCCTTATGAGTGCTGTGTGCTCCTCATCGAGGAGTGACACCTTTTTCCAGTTATATCTACGTCAGGCGTATTGATGTGCAGATAAGTCATGCATTGAGGCAGCCTGTATCACGGGAGAGAAGCAAATCACCTGGCAAGAGCAGTAGCGAGTGCTATTCCTCATGGTGGAGTACCGTTAAAACTAAAAAACATGCGCCAATGGCAGTTGCTTCAGCTCCTTCTCTGGCATGATCAAGTTGCTACACAGGTCCTCATTGTGGAGTCGTATCTTTTCCAGTGTACGTCAACAGGCATGTTGATGTGTTCCGCGACAAAGTGCAGTGGATCCATGCTTTGAGGCGGCCTGAATCACTGGAGAGAAGCCAATCACCTTGCAAGAGCAGTAGTGAGTGCGTGTGTAGTTCCTCGCCGTAGAGTAACGTAGAACATGCACAAGTGTAAGCTGCATGGCACCCTTCACATCTCGCTTCAGCTCGTTCTCTGCCATGATCAAGTTGCTACAGACCTTGCACGCTGATTCCATACACCACTGCCACAGGTTATGTCTGTCAGCTTGCGAGAGCAGTAGCAAGTGCGTGTGCAGTTCAGCTCCTTCTCTGCAGACCTTGCAAGCTGATTTCATACACCACTGCCACAGGCTATGTCTGTCAGCTAGCTACAGCAACAATATCCTCTTCATGAATGTTCAAAACTATTTTCTTGGGTCAAAATTAGCTCTCCACTGTCTACAACACAGCATGATCGCATGTGCATGGACAGGATCCGACTGCGATGCAGCTCTCCTGGAAGGAAGCAAAGTTCTCCTGTCGCCAATGCCATCGCTTGTCAGTGTCACTCAAGAAAAAATAAATTTCAATTTCAGAAGCTACGAATTCAACGCATTCCAGTCTGCTTCCACCAAGACTACTACAGGGCATCTGATTTGACAAGGTATATCAGTAGGACTTGGAAAAGTCACAGTAACGTTTGCAAGATCACTAGCCATTACAATAAGTATCAGAACATCAAAACAAACCTCGTGTAGATCCACAATTTCACATTCAACCCATCGATCTACAATTTTAGGTTCCCTTTCCCGCCAGCTGGACATGCATGCATGCATGCATGCATGCTCTCACCAGGCCGGGAGTCGTCAAATGCCGGTACTTGACGACTCCCTGGCTCTCACTTGTCAGCCAGCTCACACGTCTTGTCGTGCACGCGCAGACGTCCAGCACACACGCGTGTCGAAATGTGTTTTTTGGCGGGTAGTCGGCAAAAAATTAAGTGAGGGTCCCTTTAGTCCTTCGCGAAAGAAAGCCATAGATTCCACTAGAAGATATACCCAGTAAAACCGGATTCTATACCCACTACGGGCGGCAGCATTTAGGCATTGTATAAGGTTGCAATTCCTGCACATTGCATGACACTGAGTTGCAATTCCCGCACACTGCATGACACTGAGCAACACATGCCCCATGTACTTAGTACTTACACTGTCTGCAAACCTCCCAATTTGGCAAGAGCCCCAGGAACCTGTAGGGCCTGGTCAAGAAGATTGTCCTCGAGGCTTCTGCAAAGGCAGCAGAGAAAAACGAATGCCAGACACTTGTACGAGGGCAACACATAGAGACATGAGGTGTGCAACAAGCAAAACAAGGCAGTTCTTCTCCATACCTGCGAACAGCCATGACATCACACCTCATGCTCCACGCAGTTGGAAAGAGCTGAAGCTGGAACCTCTGCTGCTAATAGTGCTCTTGATATTGTTGTGCTTGCAGTGGACTTACTGTTTGCTTTGATGAGCCACCCACTGTCTGTTGACAAGATTACAATGGGCATCGTGTTGTGCTAGAATCAAATGGAACTCATCTGGAATGCAAGTCCTACACTACAGTCTGCATCAAACTCACAATGTTTTGCCATACTCCAAATGGGAAAATATTCTCCTGGTTGGAAGGGATGAGATCATATTTCCATTCGCAGACCTGCAGCGATGCAGACAGAAATTGAAATGTGAAGGACAATGAAAGACAGGCGGCAAACCGTGAACAGCCATTGTACACATTGGCAACATTTCTCTCCAACACACAATGTGTCAGGTATTGGATATTATGTATTACTACTTCCTCTTTTTGGAAGCTGTATACATCCACACAAGGAAACCCAACCTTTGCAAGCAGAAACAAATCAAATTCACACTTAGGCTGTTAGGTAGGTCGTCAAAACCTCGTTTGTTACATGTATGTCCAGTGGTTGTCTCTTGTTGTCGCACTGCATGTCACGCTTATTGAGTTTTCTCGCATTTGCACCTTTGTGTCATTATTGCAATTTTCGTTGTTTACTTTAGCTATCTTCTTTTTTTGCGCTGTTTTACCACCTTCTTACTGTATTTAATCCACTGTTCCTGTTCCTTTTCCCTTGCCTGTATTTCACCTGACGAGAAGGCTTGAAAGTATCCTTGTGAAGACAAAAACTTTCAAGATGTTTGTAATGAGCCTGAAGTGTGTCCTTTTTATGAGTATTATCGCATTTTTGTCTCAGAGGAAACTGTTTACTTCCTCCACGGTAAGCTAAACTTCGTTGCATCTTTACAGTTCTGTCTATAAACACAGTTTGTAAAGTGAAAAACGAAGAATCATCACATCGGGAATTCGTTTTGAAAACGACTAAATAGCTACATTGCTTCAGACAATGCGACCATCCACCCATTGATGCGGAAGAATAATTATTATGCGAAGTCGCGTCACATTTTTGTCGCGCAATACTGGCAAGTGCAGGAGGTAAACCAGGCAAACGCATGGGCAATGCACACGTGTAGCTCAATAGACTACTCCTGCAATGCTGCTCTGGACATCTGCCTGCATCTACATTAACTGCCTACATGCCATGACATGAAGTTTAGATTGACATAGCGTTAGGTCCCGACGCAGGACCAGGGCTTTCAGTTTGAGTAATTGACCGGTGTGGCAATCGGCCAACAAAAATTGCAGAAGACATGCCTGGCCTCAGCAACAGACTCACAGTAGGGCTAGTTGGTCCACGTTGAACATGTTGTCCGTTAGGTCTGTAAGCTGATTGTAGTCCAGCCAGCTGCACAACAATACATACCAGCAACCGAGCCGGAGGACTCTCATTTGTACCAGCAACCATAACAACAATCGTAAGCAACAGCCCAATAAGAAGGAGTCTCATATGAGGAGAAGGTGGCTTATGAAGGTGGCTTACGTGGGGAAATATAGACCGGGTGAAAGACAGCATACCACCAAACAACCCGTCGCTCGTAAAGACGACAAGATCCTCCTTCCAAAACAACAATGTGATGCCAGACATGATTCATATTCGAATTTGCCACAGTGGTTGCAATGCATACAAAAGCGCATGATTACTTAATGTATTGTTAGCAACTGCATTACACCATCCCATTTTTCTTCTTGATACAGGAAGCTCAATGCGGTATAGTCTCAAATGCAGCTTGAAAAACACGTAGCAAATAGGAGCACACTTACAACAAGCCCGCCCACATGCTCAAACTTACATATGACCCAGGTTGGGTTGTCGCAAGCAACCATTGCTCAATTTCACTGATGTAAGGGAGTTGTTGTTCAGTTGCCTGAAGCCGGACACAAGGAAGAGAAAACATCAAGTGATGAAGGAACAGGCATACGCATAGGGAGTAGACACACACACCCAAGGACATAGATGGACAGAAAGGAAGAGATGTAGCTCATCATACACAATAACATAGACAGAACTGAATACCGATTGGTTCACATCTTGTTGCGTTAATCCCTTGTTTACAGGACTTTGATCAAAGGCAGAAGGGCATCCTCACCAGATAAACAGCTTGTAGTGAAACAAGGGGCAGTCTACACTTGTAGTTCAAGGTAACACCTCTTGCTTGTGCCAGAATGGGGACAGCAATAGGCACTGTAAGTAAGTGATAGCGTTTTCACGGCCCAAAGACAACAACAGACAACAAAAGGCACGCATTGACTTGAAGGGCAGATGATGAAAAGCAAGAGCACAGCATTAAGACACATGGCTTACGCTGATGTTATTTTAGGATTGGAAAAAGCACTCGAACCAATGGTTGAAATCCGGTTGTTATTAAGATACCTATTGGAGGATGGAGCAAAGCAATGTATGGACAGAAAGAGAGCACAGATTATGCCAGCAGGTGTATAGCAACTCTTCCACCAGTCTCAATTGTCTATTCGGAAGAATTCTCAAATGCACTGCGCCTCCAGAAAAATACGAGTCCGTAGCGTGACTTCCCTCTAATTTAAAATATAGCAACTGTAAGTTGTCCCGATCGAGCAATTTGTTCAGTTAGCTCGGGAGACTGGTGGCCAACTTGGACACACAAACACCCTTTGTACATGTCATGAACTGCACTCCAGTCTCCGAGGTTACTGTCATGTAAGACAGTGTGTATAGCTGGGGTGAATGCCAATTTGGAGGATAGCTGCCGGACTTCTTTTCAACTGAACTGCATGGTAGCTTACACAGAAAATTCCTC